AACTGAGGCCCTGAGTCCACCAGGCCCCAAGGAACTGAATTCTGCTGACAATTACTAGAGTGAGCTTGGAATTGGAGGCTTCCCTGGTTGAGTCTTCAGATGAGACCACAGCCTCAGTAGACACTTTGACTTTAGCCTTGTATAGGACCCTGAGCCAGCAACCTCAGCTAAGCCATGCCTAGATGCCTGACTACAGAAACTGTGATATAGTGAATATTGTTTTAAAACATGAAATTTTGGAGTAATTTGTTATGCAACAATCAATAACTAATACAGTACATAAAGATTTTGGTAGTGGTGATGGGGTGTTGATTTCTGAACCTGAAGAACAATACAAACAAGGAAAGGTAAGAAGTTAGTGAGTACACACTGAATCCTGCCACAGTTTTTTTCAGGGATGGTCCTTCCTGCAAAGGATACTTTTTTTCCCCTCTTCTTCACTTGCTCTAGTCCCTTCCTTTCTTCCCTAAAAATAAACTGGAGAGTTATCTTATAAAGGTTCACTGCTAAACTTTAAAATTTCTTCTACGAAATCTCCCAGATTATCACTATCATCACCTCCATATCTGTCATGATCCTTTTTCCTGAAATTGGTCACAGTTACTAGTAAGAGGGTGACTGTAATTAGTAATGGCAATGGTTGTATTTTCCATATACAAATTCTACTCAACCCAGCAGCCACAGTCACTAGAACACAAAAATTAAAATTTTGGACATTGCAAAATGTGGTACAATTAGGGCTCTTATTCATTGCTGATAGGAATGCAAAATGGTGCACCCACTTTGGAAAGCACTAAGGCAGCATCTTATAAAATTAAACCTAAATCTGTCATGTGACTTAATAATTGTGCTGCTAGGAAACTATCCAGGAGAAATAAATATATATGTTCATGCAAAGGCCTACATTAAAAAATGTATAGAAGTTTTATGCCAAATAGTGTAAAGTTAGAAAAACTCCAAATGCTCATCAACCAGTGACTGGATAAGCAAATTGTGGTATATCCATACAATGGAATGCAACTTGGCAAAGAAAAGGAACAAACTGCTGACAAAATGCAACGTGAGAACCCTCAATAGCATCATGCTAGTGAGAGAATCCAGGTGCAAAACACTATCTACTCTGACTCCAATTACTCAAAATTCTAGAAAAGGCAAAACTAGAGTTATAGAGAGCAGCTTGGTGATTTCCATGGGCCAGACTTTAGGAGAGGAGATTGACTGCAAAAGGATAGAGGAACATTTGGGGTGGTGAAAACATTCTATGTTGATTGTGGTGGTGGTTATATGACTGAGGCATTTGTCAAGATTCATTGAACTTTTAACCTTTATGGAAAACAATGTGGAAATTTCTCAAAGAAATAAAAATGGAACTACTAGTCCACCTAGCAATGCCACTGCTGGATATCTACCCAAAGGAAAAGAAATCATTTTCTCACAAAGACATCTGCATTTATGTGTTTATTATAGCACTATTCATAATAGCAAAGTCATAGTATCAACCAGAGTGTCCATCAACAGTGGAATTGGATTTAAAAAATGTACTACACACACACATACACACACACACACACACACACACACACACACACACACACACACACCATGGAATACTATGTAGCCATAAAAAGGAATAAAACATGTCCTTTGCAGCAACATGAATACCGCTGGAGGCTATTATCTGAAATCAGTTAGTACAGAAACCAAAAATCAAATACCACATATTCTCACTTAGAAGTGAAAAGTAAACAAAGGGTACATTTGGACATAAAAGTGGAAACAATAGACACTGGGGACTCCAACAGGGGAGAGAGAGAGATGGCGGCAAGGGTCGAGAAATGACCTGTTGGATGTTATGTTTACTATTTGGGTGATGGGTAGCCCAAACCCCAGCATTGTGAAATATACCCATGTAACACACCTGCATGTGTACCCCCTGAATCTATATTTTTTTTAAAAAAGAGGGAATAGCATGCAAGCAAAAATAGACTATAAAAGCTGATTACAAAAAAGATTTATAACAAAACCATGTAGATCATATTTAAATTAAAAGAGTAATTGAAGAAAAATTTGTTGAACTTTTGAGTGCATTTATTACATAAAAATTATACATAAAAATTGTTTTTAAAAACTCTAAACCGCTACATAGAATCAAAAATTGAAGTGTTTCAGGTTGGGTTTCTTATCTTTACAATCATGGTGCAATCATTGTTCATTTCAACTCTATCATTTAAATGCAAGAATATATAGTACTACAGGGATTGGACACATGAGCTGATACTGCGTGTACTGAGAGCCAATGTTATACAGGAAGTTCTCTGAATTACTTTACATGTGGAGTAAAATGGTTATGAAGAAAAACAATAAAAATGTGCTACTTTGAAGCTTACGTGTATGTATTATTTAAAACTCAACAGTAACCTCAGCAATTATTTAGAATGTAGTCCAATAAATGATTTTGGGGGATGAATATTTTATCACTGATATTATTTAGAATTGCTGGCTCATGGTGATAATAAAAAGTAGACCAGCTTGTAGTTAACTTTATTATTGTTTTAAAATTCTTTCCAGTGTACCCTCTATTGCCTGCCTCTTGTGGGGTAGACTTGTTTTCTCATCACCTCATCACCTGTCCTTGATAAACTACTGCTACTCCTCATCAACAATTGCGGGTTCCTAGGACCCTAGAATAACATCACAAAGCCAGAGGCCAATCTAAGTTGCAGAAAATTGGAAAATCTCATTATTATTTGAAGAGTATTATTGATTGCCTACCACATTGGGGGCCATTGTAGATGCTAGCAATGTCAGGTGAAACAGTCACTGTATCCAGGACTTTAAGTTCTGATACTGTATATTGACATTGTTGGTGAAAGCAATAGAACCTTCAACAATTAAAAGTAGTAGACTTTTCTAAAAGTTACAGGTTGTCCCCTCTTCCCCTTTGATCATCTTTCTCAGTGTTCTCCCAGGTGTGCACCTTTCTCCTGCACCATAATCACATTTCTTTAAATTTCAAGTTCAGTGCTCAAGTACAGGGGCACATTATCTTTTTAGAAGCAAGAACCAACAAATAGTCTTTTGCACCAACTTAGATCTGTTTATCCTTCTTATAGACCTGCGACATTCACCTGTCAATCTGCTCTTAAAAGCCTCTATCGGGTGCAAGGTGCTTCTGAGATTTTTGATGCAGGGATGCAGCTCAGAATTGTAATTGGCCTCCTTGATATTCTGCATCGCTAGGTAAGGCTTACACAGCAAATATCTGTGCCCATCAAGAAAAAGTCTAGGATAAATGTTCAGGCAAGCAGTTCAGAGGTGAGAAAAGGCCCATTGTGAAAACAATGGGAAAGTTAGTACAGGCCAAGTTACATCTCCCACAAACCTCTCTGCTTTATGAGGGATACCACATAGCTCATCCCAGTCCCACTGGAGTCTTTTCTTCTTTTAAGCCTATGTAACAATTTCTAACTTAACTATAATAGAATACATGTCAGCGCTGGAATTTGCAGAGGTCAAGAAGCTTCTTTACGATTAAGCGAATGACCCCAGAAGGTCAGTATTAGCTTCTCCAAGACTTCTTACCAGACTAGTGGGCCACCCATGCTTCCCATTCCTCCCAAAGAAAAGTCACACAGGAGCTCAACTTAGATCTATTTGTCCTTCTTATGGACCTGTGACATTCACCTGTCAATCTGCTCTTAAAACCCTCTATTGGACACAAGGTGCTTCTGAGTAGTGTTGGACCTCAATACTACTCAATACTACATTTTCAGAATCTCATGACAATTTTTGTATCTTATATGTTTGTGGTTGCAAAGAGAAGATAATCATAAACATCAATGAATTTTTTCCAGTAATAATGCAGCATATTCCTTCCAGATCAATGTTAGCACATTGCCTGTCAATCAAGTTTATATTCCACCTCCACCAATTCCTTTCATAGGCATTAGCTGATTGGAATGGGGTGAAGTATTTTAAAATGATGAGGAAGAAACGTTTTTTATTTTGACTTTACATGAGCACTGGTAATGGTTTTTATTTTCTTTTTGAGGTAGAGTTTTGCTCTTGTTGCCCAGGTTGGAGTGCAATGGTGTGATCTCAGCTCACAGCAACCTCTGCCTCCTAGGTTCAAGCAATTCTCCTGCCTCAGCCTCCCAAGTAGCTGGGATATCAGGCATGCACTACCATGCCCGGCTAACTTTGTATTTTTAGTAGAGATGGGGTTTCTCCATGTTGTTCAGGCTGGTCTCGAACTCCTGACCTCAGGTGATCTACCAGTCTTGACCTCCCAAAGTGCTGGGATTACAGGCGTGAGCCACTGCCCCCAGCCTGGTGACTGATTTTGCACACACACACACACACACACACACACACACAGAGAGAGAGAAATCTGGTAATGAGAATAACCATTAAATATAACTAATGTAATACTGTGCTATATATATGATGATCTAACTCACTGCTATCTCACTGTTTGCTTAGTATAGTTTTGTGTGCTTTGCGTAAAACCTTTGAAGCCACAGAAAGGTTGGGCTTGAAATCAAGTCTTTGGGGCTATTTCACATACTTTTAAGAGTGTTTCTTCAGCTGCTAGGAAAGATGTGTGCATGAATTCTCTTGCCCATGTCAAGGCCAGTTACAGCCGCATAAAATCAATTCAGCTTTGGTAGATGATAAGTGCAAGTTTCCTGACAGAAGGTGATCAAGCCAGGTGAGAACTAGAAGAGCTTTGGCGCCAAATTAAATGCCATTGCGTGATGGGGAAGAGGAGAGGAAGGAAATGCACAGGCCCAATTATTGTTGCGATGATATGGTTTTGAAAGCCCTCTATGATCAGTGTTAACCCCGTGTTATTTTGTATATTGGGACTTCTCTGGGAGGTTCTAATTCAAAGGAAACTTTTACTTTGAAAGCTTTAAAAGTCTTTTTACTCTACGGATGTTATGTGGAAACACTTGCGTACTCTCAGCTCCATTGCTCTTAAAACTCTTAACTTGGTATTGCTGGCGAAATTTATGTGAATCAGAGATTATTTTTAGGTCTGGATTTATATTAGAAATTATTCATATTTGTCATTCAACAAGTAGGTACTAAGCACCCAGTAGATACAGGGAAACAGGAACATGGACAAACTTCCTGTTTCTGAAAATGCTGCCAAATCTCAGTTCCTGAGTGTTCGGCACCTTTTACTTTGGGCCCTTGGTAAAACCACAGATACAGGTAGAACTGATGGACATTTTCTCATCATGGCTGAAGATTTCTGGGGAATGGTTCTTTGAGGAACTACCTTGGCTGAAGCTCTCTTGGTTGAACCTGTAAGTACAAGAGCGTAAGACAAGGCTTCCCGTTGAGTAATATAGCCTAGGGGAAAGAAATGAGAGAAACTTCAAAATCAATAATTTTATACAACAAATAAGAAAACAAAACTGCAAATATTTACTTATGTGTACAAAATTTCTTCTACTCTTGTGGTGAGCATGCCCAGATTATACAATCTTTGAAGACTGGAAGTATATATTTCTTTTGCATTTCTCATACAATAATAAACACTTATTAATTAACATGTCAGATTATTTGGAAAGAGACTGGAGCCATGATATTTTCAATATCAAAACTTTCTTCAAACCAGAAACATCCATTTGATCTCTCTCAGTGTTTCTGAAAGTGTAGTCTGTAGACCACCGACTAGTGAATCACTGGGCTGAGGCCACATACTTTTTAAAGGTGCTTATTAAAAATGCAGATTTATGACTCTATTCTAAAGACCTTCTGAATCAGAAAGTCAGAGGGTTAAGCTTGGAAATCTGCATTTTTATAAGGTACCTGTTGGATTTTATGTGCACTAAGCATTGAGTACTTCTGCTTCTGGATTCATTGGCTTCTATGTAATTTTGCTCTAAAAATAAAGCTACTAGATAATGGTTCTAGTAACACTTCAGACAATCATGGGGACTAGACTGAATCTAGGCTTCTCTGTTTACTATTAAATAGTTGTATGACCCTGATGAAGCTATTTAACATGTCCATGTTTTAGTTTTCTCTTCTGCAAACTATAGATTATAAAGACATAAAGCTACTACACAGAGGTATTTGAGTGTAAATATCATATCTGCAAAGTTCTTAGACGAGCACCTGACACACAGTAAGCCCTCAATAAAAGGTAACTACTATTGTCATTTTTGTTAAATAAGTTGCAAACACCATGCCTTCCTTTTGTGTAAATACAAAAATGACAGCTTAAAGTAGATGTGCTAAAGACAAGTGAGTAGATTTTTGTTTAAAAAGCACTCTAGTGGAGTTAGGAGAACAGTATGAGGGAGGGCTGCCAGCAACTGAAAACATTTCCTGCAAGAAAAGGGAGGACTTTACATATGCTTTCTGGTAAGTTGGTGCTAATAATTTGTGAAGGTCTTTCACAACCATTATTTTATTTGTGCTTCATAAATTCTGAAGAGGTTGAAAGAAAGAGGAAAGACAGCAGAGGATGGGGCTGAAAATGTATAATCTTTGAAGGTGACAGCTCTGCCTCGAAGTCCTAACTGACATTTATTAGCTGTGTGTGATCTTGACCAAGTTACATAACCTGCCTGAGCTTTCATTTTCTACGACCATCAGGTGGAGAGAAAATGAGATATCGTATGTAAAGCTCTCAGCACAATGTCTGGAATGTGGTGAATGAGCAATAAATCTAACTATTACTGTTGTGAGTAAACCAAGTCTCTGAGTTTGCACACAGCAAGGAGTTGAGCTACCCGCCTGGTTTTCTAAGCCCAGACCCATTGTTTTATTTGATTAAGTTCCCACAAATCTCAGAGAGTTAACATTTTATCACAATCCATACTTGAATTTCTTTAAACCCTATTAATTTACCCATAAAACCTTGCTTTCCATTGTCAAGAATAAGCATTTTGAAACTTGGCTAACAAGCTATGTTGGTAAAATAGCACCCGGCAGATGCCATTGTACTTGAATTATTTATTTGAAAACAACTTCTGGCTACAGCATGAGTTGCTTGGTTTGGATCATGTGGTTAAACTTACCAAGCAGCTGTTGGTGCTGAAGGCTGTGAATGTACCGGGTCTGCAGGGCCTCCCACTGGGGCCTGGTGTTGTAAATCCTCATAATGCTATAAAAGTAGCGCTGTTGCCCTCGGTTGAGGTTCTGTTGGAACAGAAGAGGTGATTTTGATGAGTCTGTGGAGTTCCACAGCAATCAAATTGTGATGTATTCAAAGCTAACTTTTATGGAAATGAGAGGCTTCTCTTGCTAAACATATATATAATTTTTAATGCACAATAATTGGAAAATAAAAATGGGGGATTTCCTCTATTTGCTTAAACAGTCTTCTGCTAATCTGTATGATGATGAAAATATGTGAGTAAAAGATTCTGGGTAATTGACTTGAACTGAGGGACATCTAAGGATTTCCAGGATCTTATAATTTCATTGATCCTTATGGAGGAAAGTAGCTTGCGATGAGCTACACAGAGCTGAAGTATGCTAGGCCTCTGGACTGGTAGAAAATTTTCCACTGAAAGTTCTCAGTAAGCAAGTGAGACGGATGGAAGAGTAATGTGGTAAGGGTTCATTATATCATTAGCAAAAATGTGCTGTGAAAACAAAGAATTAAACAAGCTTCCTATAGCAGTCAAGGAAGGTTTCCTAAATAAGATGACCATGTTATCTGAGTCTTAGGTGAGGAATTTCTTTAAGGGACTAGAATACTGGTTCTTAGAGGGCATGGACAGCCCCTGGAAATCTGTTAGAAATTCTTACTTTTTTGTTGTTCTTGTTCAAAGGGAACATAAGAGTCTGATAGGGAAAAGACTACAGACTTAGGGGAAGATGATGGAAACCTTTTAGCTATGTTAAGAGTTTAAGGATGAACTATTCTAGGAAGAGCCATCAAAGGTCTTTATTTAAGACAGTGGCTCTCAACAGGGATGATTTTGACCCCCATGGGACATTTGGCAATGCCTGCAAATTGTTTTGATTGTCCTAATTGATGGGATGGGGAAGGAATACTCCTGGCATTCAGTGAGTAGATGCCTGGGATGTGCTCAGCATGCTGCAATGCACAGGACAGCTTCCCACACCCTTCCAACAAATAGTCCAACCCAAAACACCATACTCTCAACTGACAAGATTAGCATTTTAAAAAATAGCCCTGCAGTGGAGAATGGGCTCCAGGAAACAGACCATTGGTAGAGAGACCATTTAGAAGGTTACTTTCATGAAGGTAGGGAGAAACAAGAAGGGTGGGACTTCAATTACTATTATATACTTAATATATCTTAAGTGTTCATTATATACTGTGCTCAGCATTTTGCATTTGCATGTATTTTGCATACATAATCTCAAGTTTCAGCAATCCTATGAGATGTGCAATTTCTTTTGCTTATTTTACAGATAGGGAAGCAGATAGTGGCATCAACAGTCTAGAAAAATCAAGACAAAATAAGTTCACCCTAGGCCAAAGAATTCAAAACAATAGCAGAATTTTCAAAATGAGTTGATAACTATGCAATAAAAACTAAACTTGAGATAATTATATGTAAAGGTAGGATAAGGTGACTTTTACCTGTTAGACATTTTGTGTGGGCTTGAAATCTGTGAGTTAATGTTTTGTTTTGTTTTTGTATTTTTGATCTAAAAATCTTAATATCAAAAATATATCTAGAGTGAAAGTAGCAAAGCCAAGTACCTCGTAATTTGAGACATTATTTCAGCTTTAGTTTCTGAAGTAGATATTTTAAAGGACATCATATTTGAAGAGAATGAATTCCACTCCTCAATAACTAATTTTGCCTTTTAAAATGATCGAGAACAAGATAATATGAAAATTGTAAGCCAGTTTCAAGAGTGAAACTCCAAAGTGCAATGGGAGTTTCCATGGAAGATAAAAATCTTAAAAGTGATGATTTTATTTTACAAAGCAAAAAATGCGTACCTCTTTTCCTTAGTAAACTCTAAACTTGCTAAATGAGAAGTAACAGGTAACATTACTAATATTCTTTTCCTGCTGTTTATCCTTCCTTGAGGGTTTGGGAGAAAACTGAAATTTTTAGATTATTTATGAGAATGGCTTTAACTAACTTTGACCAAAAGGAGTTAACAGCTCTCCAACAGGGAGCCACAGTGTGGCCAATTAGTGAGTTTCCCGTCACTGACAGCGGATCAGCCATGAAGAGGTAACTGTCTACCAGAGCTCTTAAAATGGGATGGGTGTGTTACCCAGGTGTGTTCATTCACTCTCTCATATGTAGCCTTCAACATGCAGCAATGGTTTATTTTGGGGCAAACATTCTTCTTAATGCTAAGTAAACAAAGACAGCAGAAAAAGTCCTCAAACCTTGAAGGAGAGACAGGTCACTCTATCTGTTAAAAAAAAAAAAAAACCCAAAAACTGTACCTTTAGTAAGGAAGTGTCAGAGATGGAGGGAGGAACTCGAATGCAAGGAAGTTGTGGAACATTCCAAAGCTTTTGTTGTCTTTTCCAGTTTTGTCTCATCGTTTATTCTGTAACTCTAAGGAACAACAAATCATAGCATAAAATTTCTTTAAGCTCAACCATTTTTGGGTATGTACTTAAGTAAATAAGTAAGCAAGTAAGTAAATGAATTTTTAAAAATATAATTTGTTTAAAGGATAAGAACTTTGCTCTCGTTTCCAAATAATTGACATCATCAGACTACTTAATTCCACACCTTTTCCTGTTCTTACCCTTTATTATGAAAATAGTTGTTACTTATTTGTGAAGTTAAGGAATAATTCAGAGCCCTTGTCTTTCTGTTTAACTCTGTTTGGAACAGGTGGGTTGTAGAGTGTACTATTTTTATGATAGTAATTTTTTGATAATTTTAAGTAGTATTGATTATTGTATCTGATTCTAAAAGTAATATATATTGTTTTGAAGATTTGGAAAATTTTAAAAATTAAAGAAGAAAATAAGATTACTCATACAAGTTGAGCATTCCAAATCTAAAAGTCCAAAATCTGAAATGCTGCAAATCCAAAACTCTTTTAGTACCTACATGATGCCCAAAGGAAATACTCATTGGAACATACTGGATTTCGGATTTTTTGAATTTGGGAGGCTCAACTGACAAAGATAATGCAAATTTTCCAGAATTTAAAAAAAAAAATCTGGAATTTGCAAAACACTTCTGGTCCCAAGCATTTTGGATAAGGCATATTCAACTTGTATCTAACTATCCATAATTATTGTTAGCATTTTGTTGATTTCCTTTTATTTTTTATTTTTATATATATTTTTGAGACAGAATCTCACTTTGTCACCCAGGCTGGAGCACAAGGTGATATCATAGCTCCCTGCACCCTTGAACTCTTGGGCTCAGCTATTTTCCCACCTCAGCCTCCTAAGTAGCTGGGTCTACAGGTGCGCACTCCACACGCAGTTATTTTTTTAAATGTTAGTAAAGACAAGGTCTCCCTGTGTTTCTCAGGTTGGTCTCAGATTCCTGGGCTCAAGTAATCCTCCACCTCAACCTCCCACAGTGCTGGGATTACAAGTATGAGCCATCACTCCTGGGCTTCACTGGGCTTCACTTTCCTTTTATTTATTTTTTCCATGTACATTGTATATGATTTTAGAAAAGGGAGATCACAATTTATATGTGTTGTGTACTTTCTCAGATCATTAAGTATTCTTTAAAAATATGATTTTTAGTGGCAGTATAGTATACATTTACATCATTCTCCACTTCTTGCATGTTTAGATGTATAATTTTATAGCATTGTATTATAAAATAAACTATTAAATTTGTCATGTTTCCACTTGCCTGACAAAGATATAGAATGAAAGAGTCACATTTGCTATGATCAAGTCTCCTTTCCTGGTGATTTAGGGTTTAGAGTCTGAAGTGTGTATAATAATATGAATTTAGCAATCCAGCAAGAATAAACATATTTGAATAGGTTGCCAAGCCACAGAATGCAAACCCAGTGCTTACTTTCTCCTTTGCTTACTCCTTTGTCTTTGTTAGCAGTGTGAATTACTGAATGATAGAAAGTAAGACCACAGCAAATCAAGCATAGTAACAATCTGCTTAGCTTCTGGGCTGCTATGGCACCTGGGGGCTAAGCATAGTAACAATCTGCTAAACAGATTATTATCAATACCTGCATCATATACTAACTGAGGAAAAGAAACTATAATAGAGGCTATATGGCCTTTAGAACTAGAAAGACCTGAATTTCCTTCTGTAAACCTCAGCCCTCTCATCCTTAAGACCTCAGTTACAATACCTACCTCATTGGGTGTTTGATTCACTGCAATTGTAAATATGGAATGCTCTCACACAAACACATGGACACACATAGGCACACAAACATACACATGCTTAAGGACGATTGTAATACGTACATGTGGAGACTGATTTGTTTTGAGTTCACACATTAAAGGTTCCATTCTTCCAGATGAGAAATTTATTAGGAAAACATTAGTCAACATCTCTGTGTGTACTGTTTCTGCTGTATAAATGTATAAATTAAACTACAAATATTTTAGTTAGTGCTGCTTTCCTTCAATTTGCACTCCAGAAACCATACCAACCAAGATACACTCTTAACATTCTCTGTGATTGACGCCTGTGCTCTATCCTGTACTCATGTATCCCTCCTCCCGTTTTCCAGATCTGTAGAACAGAGAATAAATATTCTTCAAAGCTTGAAAGATTTCTTCTCTCCTCAAATAGCATAAGGAAATGATTGATGCTGTTTCTTATGGCTACAATTCATGTATGCTTTTCTGGAGCTACTGCTAAAGAAATTGATTTTACCTATTCAAGTGGCCTATACTTGATAAATTTTGACTAAAATACTAGTGGAATTCAGGGAGAAAAAAATATACAAAATAACTGAAACAAAAAGACAGATTTGCCTACAAAGAACTTACCTTATACTGTAGTTTCCCCACTTTTAAAAGCTGGCATTCGTATTCAGTATAGTTTCCTTACATGGACTCTGTTCATATGGTACTGGTGGTGGAAGTCTGTTGATAAACTGATATCCAAGCAACATCATGTGATGAAACAAAGAGCTGGGGAAATCTGGCTGCATGCCTTTCTTTGCTTCTGGATAACATTCAGCTACACAGTTTGATATTTTTTCTTCCAAATTTTGTGTCTAATCAAGTATCATCTTCTAAATTGACCATATCTCTGCTATATGCAGATATAGGGGAGTAACATGGATAGAGGCAGAAATGATAAATATTAAAGATCAAGAAATCCATCAAGGCAATGGGCCATGACATAAATATTTCCAAAATTTGGAGTCAATAGTCTCTTTCTCCATTGCTCAGGATGATGAAGAAAGAGTTCCTGAATACAGAGGTACAGGCATGAATTTTACTGTGGTAACCCGTGAAATTATTCCATAGTTTAAGCTAAGTTCCTTTTTCATTTGGTAGGGGAGTAAGATATTCAGCATATTTTATCTTAATTAGAGGCTATATGTGATGATAACGAACCTGTGGCATAAGACTAGAGCCCACACTGACCTCATCCCTTCTTCTGTGACAGCATTATTCTACTGGCTTCCTGTCTTTCTCAAGTGTCCCTCTTCTCAGTGCCAGCTTATCTGCAAAGACAAAGAGTTACTAGAGGAAAGAGAAGAAGAAATATCAAAAGAAAACAAATCCAAAACTCTTAGGAGACTAAGGGGAAGAAAAAAGCAAGGAGATAAGATTGATGAATCATCTGCTTTAAAGAAGAAAGGGCTCCATAGATGCAAAAAAGTCTTGCTTTTTTTCCCCCAATAATTTGAATGCAGACTTCATGGGAAATAAGCACAGCACAGACAAATATCTGTAAATGCCAGTGAATAGCATACAGTCCCTTACTGGATCTGAGAGGTTGATGATTCTTTACCAAGAGATAGAGAACAGTTGTGTGCAGAGTTGACATTGTCATTGAGTCTTCCGCAAATGTTTTTCCGGGGTACGATGAAATTCATTCTAGGGTGCACTGCATCTGCTGATGTTGCACACACATGCTGAATTCCTACCAGCTTGCATTGGTTCCTACTTAATTAGGAGAACAGTAACAGATCTGGGTGTTTGACAGAGGGCATTTAATGTAAGGAATCTGTTATGAAAATATGGAAATGGGTTAGAGGAGTAAAACAAGGAGGGTTAAGTTATCCAAGGACTGGCAATTGCCCTAAACTATGATTGCATGTAGAGCTGGAGGACAAAAGGAGAGTGATTTTACCCACAGCCGTGGACACTGTGCCATAGAGGATGCTTCCTTTGGAGAACTGCCTGAGCAGCAACTCAGGAACCTGCACCCAGCAGAGTACATTCATCCTTGCTTCTATGTTCTTGTCCAAACTGCTAATCTTACTGTTGCTGTCACCACTGTTGCCGTCCATGTGGCTGCTGCTGTTGGCACTGCCACAGGTGCAAACAGAAAATATTTTTTTAAAAATGGCTTCTTCCCTCCTGCCTTCCATTGGATGCCAGCTGGCAAGGGATTTTGGGAAATGTATTTTGCAGTCTTCCTACTACTCTGGCAAAGAGAAGGGTATGGAAGAATCAACATGAGGCTGACAGATGGTGGACACTCTCCAACACAAACACAAATCTAAGAGGTACCTCTGAGACCTATGAAGTCAGGCAGGAGGCTGAAGGACTTAGACATACAGTCAGTGTTTACCTAATATCACTGAGAGTTGTCGTTTTATAAGAAAGAGAAAATAAGATAAACCTAGTTATGTAGATGGTATCAAAGAATGAGATATAAATTTGTAGACATGTTTTAAAATTTAAAAATGAGGAAGTAATGTATATCCTCAGTTTGGGACAAAAATGTTTTCCCAAAGACTAGTTTTAACATTTCAAAATGAATTTAAACTGATGACAAAAAAATGGAATAGAAACACCCATAATTTAATTACTGTAGGGAATACGTCAACTATAGTAAAAAAAGATGTACTATTTCACAGTTAAAATATTGGTACAGCAATGAGACTCATTGCTTAAGACATTGGCTGTTTAGAAGGTGGATGATAAAGTTTTTTCATGGAATATCAGGGTAAATGTGACCTCATGGATGATACCAAGTGAGGAAGAGGGATTCATGATTGGAATCCAAGATTAAGTTAAACTCTAATTCAAAGAAACCCACCTGCTAGAGGGAGAGTGCTACGGTACACCATGGAGGTATGGACTTTCCTGAAAAACCATGAACCCAGGAGGAAATGCTCTCTGCTAACATTCTTTTTCCAGGATCCTCTTAGCTGCAGAGATGTCCGTGAGGATGGCTCTGCCAGACACAGACATCCCCCCTTGACTACCCACCCCTCAGAGGATCTCTGTGCTCCTTAAGGAAGAGAAGGCAGTGTCCCTTTCCTCACTCTGCTGCTGTTTATCCCTTGCACTCTACTAGTCTTCTAGAGGAATTTTATTTCCCATTGAGCTATGTAGTCCCTTGAGGTCAAATTTTTTGGTGGGGAAGGGGGGTCAGTTATTCCTTATTATCTTGCTTTTTCTTTGACCTCTTCATAGAAAACTCCTGCTTTTCTGAGATTCCAAAACAAAAGCTATCATGTACACCAAACCTATAGGAGCCACTGGTCACAAAAATAAGGATATTTAGAGTCTTAGTTTGGTTTATAAGAACCTCTTTTAGTGAGTGAAAACTACTTGGGACACTTAGAAGCAGTGATTATAAGCAAAGGAAAAACTGGATGTGGTCAGATATGTGCTAAGACTGGAAGAATGGATTTCAAACAATTCAGGAAAAAAGTCTAACATGGACTTGAGAAGGGAATACCCAGAGATTTAGTTTTGACCCTATAATCTCAAATAAAATCTGTGGAAGAAAGGGATAAGTTATCAAAAGAAACTAGAGGAAGTCCACTGGGAACTCACAGAGAATTCTAGACTTGAGGTCAGGTTATTTTTAAAAATCATAATTAACAAAAAAAGATTTTTCATTAGAGATTTTTCAATGGTTCTCTAAAAGCAGATCCTAATAAGTACAATTGTTAAGTAAGAGAGTCAGTACTCAAATCCATGATTGCCTGAAATCTGTGATTTTTTTCCCCTTGATCTCTGGAATGAAAAGGGAATTCAAGCAGCCCACACTGTGTTATAATAGAACATTGCCCCTTTTATCCAGTCATTATCTACAGACAAAATTCATGCATCACAATTTTTTCTGTCCTTGGGATATGTTCTGTTTCTATTCAGAATACTACTTGGCTGAATAAGGGGAGGCTTCAGTTTCACAAAGACATATGGTCATGATTCTGGAGCAGGATATTAGTCTTACTATGTCAAGTCACTGACCTTCTAATAAAACTCCTGGAAAGTCTTCATGCACGTAGGCATCCAGTGAGCCAGTTCAGTCAGCTCTTGAATATACACAGTCATATTCAAATTCATAGTGAATACTGAAGTGTGTTTTAGGTCCCTGGCTATAAAAACATTCTCCAAGTGTATTGTGATTAAAAAAAAAATGAATTGGATAATAAATACCATGCAGCACTCAACAATGGATTATCAATGCAACTTTGTAAACATTTAAAAAATCAATACTGATTCCTGGGCAAAATGGCTGAATAGGAGCAGCTCTGGTCTGCAGCTCCCAGTGAGACCAAGACAGAAAGTGGGTGATTTCTGCATTTCCAATTGAGGTACCTGGTTCATCTCATTGGGGCTGGTTAGACAGTGGGTGCAGCCCACAGAGGGGGAGCAGAAGCAGGGTGGGGCATTGCCTCACCTGGGAAGTGCAAGGGGATGGGGAACTCCCTCCCCTAGCCAAGGGAAGCCATTAGGGACTGTGCCGTGAGGGATGGTGAATTCCAGCCCAAATACTACGCTTTTCCCACAGTCTTCACAATCCATAGACCAGGAGATTCCTTTGAGTGTCTAAACCACAAGGGCCATGGGTTTCAAGCACAACACTGGGCGGCCCTTTGGGCAGACACTGAGCTAGCTGCAGGAGGTTTTTTTTTTTTTTTTTTTTTCTTCCCATACACAAGTGGTGCCTGGAACACCAGCAAGAGAGAACCTTTTACTTCCCTGGAAAGGGGGCTGAAACCAGGGAGCCAGGTGGTCCTGCTCAGAGGATCCCACCCCCACAGAGCCCAGCAAGCTAAGATACACTGGCTTAAAATTTCTTGCTGCCAGCACAGCAGTTTGAAGTCTACCTGGGATGCTTGAGCTTGGCGGGGGCGGGGCATTCACCATTCCTGAGGCTTGAATAGGCACATTTTCCCCTCACAGTATAAACAAAGCCACCTGGAAGTTTGGACTGGTAGAGCCCACCTCAGTGCTGTAAAGCCACTGTTAAAGGGAGCCAGAGAAAAAGGTCAGGTTACCCACAAAGGGAAGCCCATCAGACTAACAGCAGATCTCTCTGCAGAAACCCTATAGCCAGAAGAGAGTCGGGGCCAATATTCAACATTCTTAAAACAATTTTTGTGCCAGGTGTGGTGGCTTATGCCTATAATCCCAGCACTTTGGGAGGCCGAGGAGGGTGGATCACCTGAGGTCAGGAGTTTGAGACCAGTCTGACCAACATGGTAAAACCCAGTCTCTACTAAAAATACAAAAAAATTAGCGAGGTGTGTGGTAGCATGCGCCTGTGGTCCTGCCTACTCGAGAGGCTGAGGCATGAATGGCATGAACCTGAGAAGTTGCAGTGAGCTGAGATTGTGCCACTGCACTATGGCCTGGCTGACAGAGTAAGACTCTGTCTCCAAAGAAAAGAAAAGCATTTTCAACCCAGAATTTTGTATCCAGCCAAACTAAGCTTCATAAGTGAAGGAGAAATAAAATCTGTTACAGACAAGCAAATGCTGAGGGATTTTGTCACCACCAGACCTGCCATACAAGAGCCCCTGAAGGAAGCACTTAATATGGAAAGGAAAAACTGCTACCAGCTACTGCAAAAACAACCCAAAATGTAAAGACCATCAACACTATGAAGAAACTGAATCAACTAATGGACAAAATAACCAGCTAGCAT